GAAAAATTAGTGCAGATTTGTGGACCTAGTTAAAGGTACTGCACGTGTAAGACTAAACATTCACCTTCAGTGATGTGCTGCAGGCAGGGTTCACATTAGCATTCTTCCCAGAGATGCCAATTGTATGTACTTGTATGAAAGTGGTGCTAAAATTGAAGGGGGCATGACAGGCATTCAGATACCTCTAGCCAGTGCTGCTGGGAGATGAATGAACGTGAGGGAACTCCATCCTCCTACAGAGAACTTAACTGAGGTAATGAGGTATCGGCAAGTTGTTATCAAGAGCCTGTCTAGTGACTCAGGAGGGAAGGCTTCACGTTTCACCCAGCATTTTAACTTGGAAGACCCCCCTGTGGATGTGCCAAGTGTGCCTTTTGGAGCTAAGGAAACTAGCAGGACTTACCTCAATTAACTGCATGAGGAATGTTTTGGATGCAACACTATGAACATAGCCGGCTACCTAAGCCGGTTGTTAGCACTATCTGCAGTCTGCACTTAGACAACACAGAGATTAAAAGGAATAAGCGTTACTACCACTTTCTAGCAATGATGCTATAATCTGATGAAATTCCAAGATGGATCATGGCACTATCCCATAGAAAATTATAGTGGAAAAAACATCTGTAGAAAAATTACAAGGAGCATCAATGGCAGTGGGGCGATCTACCATTGACTTATTACTATATTTTAAGACACAAGCTTTGTTGGTCGAATGTAGCCAATGAGGAGTCTTGATGCCAGTCTATGGTCCCAGGTTTTTATGGAAGCTCTCCATTAGCGAAAATGGGATAAGAGGATGTTTAGCTGGCACCACAGCAAGACAAAGAGTAGATCACCCTTCATGTATATGAAGGAATCAAGTTCTAAAAAGATGAAATTGGCAAACCAGTCATACAAAGAAACATTTGTTTCACACAGATTTAGCGTAGCAGAGTAAACCAGTTCTGCAGTTATCTTAATTAGCAAAGGAACCTATGTTACATTTGATAACATTGGTAAATTCGTGTTTGAAAAGGCAGGAACTTTCCACAGTATTGGGATGCACAAAAAAAAAAAAAAGTTGATAATTAAATGCTCAAAATAATCTACCTGCTTTCATATTTCAACACTTCTTTCCAGGGCCTGTTACATAGCATAGGTAAAAATCACCTGGACTGTATGTACTTTGGCTTGTTTTTCTAAGCCAAAAGTTGTCATTTTGGTGAGGAAAGCAAACACCATCAGTCAAAATTTGAAATCTACTTATTTAAGGTAGGGTCCTGAATCCTCTCTTAGGCAGCTAAGGAAAAGTCATCTTATTTTAAGGAGTGATTTACATCTGCCTACCAGTCCAACGGGAATACTGGTATAAGATGATGGCTTCTCAGATAGTTCTGCTTTTGCTTCTTAAATCTGGAATTACTAACCTAACTTCAGTCATGCTACTGAAAAGCAATGGTGTTCAGACAGCAATTTGCCCAAATACTACTTGCAGAGCTATACTAATTTTCTCACTAAGGCTGATGAACCAGTATTTACACAAATGAAAAGAACATACTGATCTCCTTTGAAAGACCATGAAAAAGGCTGCTTAACAAGTGGAGGGAAAGAAAAGAAGTGTAGGGCAAGAAATATAATTTTGAGTTTCTGTGAAGATATCACACACAATATAAGTGAAACCGAAAATAATCTCAGAATAGAACCTGACATTAAAAAAGATTAAAGAGGGGAAAAAAACACACAACCCAATCAAGCTGGTAAAGCCTAATTAGCAGAGACCCACCCAGAGATCAGCAAAATGCATTCTTTTCATTTGCTAGTATAAAGAAGCTGCATATATTACTTGTATTAAAAAGCCTCTAAAATGAATTTAATTAACTATGAAAGGCTTGATTTTGCCTTTGGGTATATGTAAAAACAACAGCCAATTTTACAAGATGCACTGTGATGCCCGATTATGTAGCAAGAGAAGAATTAAAACCTTTAGGTTTCTCTGCCTCTCTGGGTTCATAGAATTTTGTGGTCCAGAGTTTAATTGTATTTGGCCACGGTCACAAAGCTTGGGTCAGCGTGTGAATTCAAACTCACACAGTGGCGACAGACCTTTGCCTATTTTGGAGTCTGGTTTGCAAGCTATGACTTGAGACTACCACTTAGATTTCAGGGAGCACAAGAGAGCATTGTCCATTTGCAGGTAAAGCATGGGCAAGCCCCATGGCTGAAAGTGAGAGACCTGTAAGGAATGTATTACAGATACATGAAATGCAAAAGACAAAAGATTATTAAGCTAAATCGGTCACACAGCTATGCATATGTCTGCTACACAGTGCTGTATTTTGACTATTTTAACTTCAACTATGTTAATTCTTTTCCACAGTTGAATAAACACAGAAGAAAAAATAAAAAGGAAGATTAAAAATAAATGAAATTAGGAGATTCAAAGGAGGTTCTACTGTCTGGAATATCTCCTTCCTTTACCACCTGCATGGTTAAAAGGGAGTCCTGCCACACACCTCTCTACCTCCTCTCTTCAGGACCTCTCCTACAGGCAGCCATATTGGGAGCCTGAGGCTGCAAACGATCTGAACCCAACCTGCAGGCTCTTTGCATGCCTTAGGAGCACCTCAGCCAGCAGCTGGGATCTCTCTCCTTGGAGACTTTCAACACTTGACTGGGAACAGCCCCAAGCAACATGATCTAACTATGAGGTAGACGCTGCTCCAAGCCCAGGGTGGAGTAGGAATCTCCAAGGGCAATTTTTTGCATGGCCCTGCATAAGGTATAGTGCCAATCTCACACATGCCTGCCAGCACTCAGACCAATCCATTTGCCTATATCAAATTGCTATGGATGTTCCATCCCCCTGGCATATGTAAGGACATAACTGGTCATCTATGAGCATCTCTCAGTAGGTTTCACCCCAGGCACATGTGTGCTAGAGGAAGTCCAAGCCCTCAACCTTCCTCACAGTTACCCTAGGATCTCTTTCACAGGTGCAGGCATTAATCAAAGTAGCAAACACCCAGTATCTCCAGACTTGGATGGTCTGAATGCCTCCAGGAGCACAGTGGTTTCACCTACCTCTGGATTTCTGGATACAAGTCATATTACTATATAGCTTTCTTGGACTTGTCCCCTAATGCCTTAGTGTCCCAATTCAAGGCCCTTTATACACCCCACGTTCAGGCAAAGCCAAGGCATGCCCCTCCCAGCCTGGGATGCCAGCAAGTCCTATGAGTGCTGGGTAGAGAGGAAAGCTGAGAGCCTTGACTCCCACCAGCACTCACCATCCTGGGCTAAAATGTATCCACAGATAATGGAAAAAAGCCGAGTGCAACCTCTGGCAACTCATACAGTAAGACCCGTGGTCAAGGGAAGGACAGACTGTCCTTTGCAGGAGCCCAAACTTCTGTACCATTCTCCATTTTCCTCACTGTAAAAGCCTACTGCAAAACAAAATACTATTTCAACCAGCACAGTAATATCAAGTAATCCCCACAAGCTGGTTCCTAGAGATCCTAAAAGAAAGTGAGGTCTGGCTTACCCAGCAAGCAGCTTGACTGGCTGCTGACAATAAAATCAGGCCCATATGTGAGCTTCACCTTTGGCTTCAGTGACTTCTGACAGCATTTTGGATTGCCCCCATGCTAGGATAGTAAGGTTGTACTGAAAGCTGGTCACGCTGACTGGTTGTATCAATTGTCTTCTACCATTAAGGTTTTTCCTCATGGCATGACCTCCTATTGCTACTGAGAAGACCCTGAAGGCTAAATAGTGTGAACGAGCAGAAAATATGGCTTTGAGGATGGTACCAAAGGTGTACAAAACAGAACAGTGTGGATGTACCACATCCACATATGGTTCTACCACAGCAGAAGTAATTGTGGACAGTCAGCATAGCAAACCACTTTGAGATTACCTTTTTATAATACTAGAGTGGAAAAAATATGGGAAAACATATGACAACATCTTTTCTCTATCGCTATTTTCATATCTGTCAATGTTTTCTTTAACCTTTGATCTAACACCAACTATTATCTGGCAAATATTTTGCCAGTCATTGCACAATGGCTTTCCATAAGCATATAATGAAACTCAATGTTAATTTACTCAGGACTAACTTAGAAAGTTTCCCTTCTGTGGGACTGCAACACTGCTTTCTATCAGTAAAGGAGAAAGGATGCTGTTTTGGAGAAGGTACACTAACTAATACTGAGAATACGTGGGCTTTTTGAGAGCTCTGCCATAACTGTCCTGTTTCAGATCGTGAACAGATAGTTTAGCTCTGCCTCCACAAGACTGACTGCCTCCCATAGCCTTTTGCAATTACTATTACACTATCTTTTCCTACTCTGCATGACACTCCCCATCAGCAAAAACAGATTTAATCTCTCATGTTTCTTTCAGTCAGGATAGTAATCGTCACTGGTTTAGGAAGCCCACCCTGAGAAACTTTCAGCTTGATTGAAGACACTTTCAGGACTTCTGAAAGGGACTTTCAGAAACCTCAGACAGTATATTTGAGAGCTGACCTGTACACAAGAGTCCCAGTTGTTCATACTTTTCATAAACAGTGAATATTTTTGAAAGCTTTTAACTAAGAGCTCAGACCTGAACCAAGGCATCAGCAACAGGAACAAACAGGGTACACACACATAGATGTGCACGCATATAGTAATCTGTATGAGTTCTTCATTACCAACATAGAGTCATAGAATAGTTTGGGTTGGAAAGGACCTTCAAAGGTCATCTAGTCCAACCCCCCTGCAATAAGCAGAGACATCTTCATGTAGATCAGGTTATCCAGAACCACATCCGGCCTGGCCTTGAATGTCTTCAGGGATAGTGCATCTACCACTTCTCTGGGCAACCTGTGCCAGTATTTTACCACCCTCATTGTAAATAATTTTTTTGATGCATACTTAAATATGTATGCTCCACTGTAGCATGGATGGAAGGCAATGAGAAGGGAGATCACTACAAGTTGCCTGTTTTCAGCAGCATGCCTGAGAGCATCTTACCTTGACATGATGTATGAGGTGCTCCACTTCATTCACTTTATACGTTTCTATTCCTAACTCTTTAGATAATCGCAGGAGACGATTTTGTGTTGGTCCCACATAAGCTCCTCCAAGGTCCACATATTTAACTTGCTTATTCTAGTTTATCACATACAACACATAAGAGGGAAAAAAAAGGGGGGGAAGGATTAAAAAAAAAAAAAAAAAAGAAAAGAAAAGAAAAAGATAAGCCCTTTGTAAATAGCACACAAGTTAAAAGAGCAATCCAGATAAATTCTTTAAATTAAAACACTACCAGAGCATGTTGGCAAGATTCCTTTCCCATGGAAAACTTCAATCCCTTGGTAGATTTCTGGTGTGGCAATAACTGAGAATCTTGGGTAAGGAGTTCATAACCATCTTAGCTGTGCTGTTGTTACATTACAGCCTTAACAAGCATGAGAGGAAAGAGTCTGACAGGCAGAGAAAGAACAGGATTGGAGAAATCTGTGCAGTTCCTACTCAGTCAGGCATCACACCAACAACTAGTTCAAAACAGACTGTACTAGGAAGTAGCACAGGTAAGATTTTCTAATGAGCAGAAAGGAAGGAGGTCTTCCACGTCAAAGTAGGGCAGAAAGTAAAGGAGTGAAGTAAGACATGCCAGTACTAGTTCCCAGCCACCCTTGCTGTTCCTCTAGCTGACATGATGCCTCACATTGCTTATTATGATTCTGCTGAAGGCTCTTCATGGTGTGGTTGGCCTTAAGGGTGTTTTTTTCACAGAGATTTCTCCAGTGCCTCTCTCTGGCAAATTATTTTTAAATTTAGCTAATCATGTTCTCTTTCCCAGAGGAAAGAACTGATGACTCCAGAGCTTGCAAGTCACATGGAAGTATTCTGTCCCAGTGCCAGTCTGACCATCATTCCCTACTCTTGCTAGTACAACATCAGGAAATTTCCCACCTGCTAGTGCTCTAGAAATTTTCCCTCAAGTAGGTCCTCTAGCTCTAAAGACAAATGAATACATTTATGTACACTACTCATATAGTATACTATACTATACTATACATATACATACATCTATATGTGTATACTATACATGTATATGCTATCTACTATATGTATTTATATGTAACATAAATGGGTTTGGAGATAATTACCCTTACAGTGAAAGTTCTTCCACCAACCCTGTCATTGGCTTCCAGCAACACCACATTCAAGCCTGACTCAGTCAGCAGTTTGGCTGCTGAGAGACCTAAAAGATAAAAGGAAAATCAATTAGACAATACTTCTGTACATGCACCCCATGGTTTTTGTTACTTTACATGTAAACTCACATAACTATCCATCCAAAACCTGAATTTTTTATTCAAACACTTTGCCAGGAGATGAGATGGAGGTGAAATAACAAAATAAAACCAAAACAAAAAACCAAAAAACAAAACAAAAAAAACAACCCAACCAACCAACCAACAAAATTAAACACACCACCCCCCCAAAAAAAAACCCCACCACCCAACAAACAAAAAATCCCAAACAAAACCAAACCAAATCAAAACAATAATCATGAAATGGAACCAAAGCCACATATTAAACCAGTTTGTGGTCAAATTTTACATGTGCTAAGCACCTTTTACACCACATGCTCAGTGGTTCTCATGCATAAGCCAGAACTTGTGATGATAGTCATCCAGTCAGGTGAGAGCTTGGCTGCATTTTTTCTTTTCTAACTTTCTGTTTACTAACATCAACACATCATCTTTTATAACCCCAATTAAAAAAAAAAAAAAGGAAGAAGTAAAGTTTTATTGGGACTGTCCTAAATTTCAAAAGTTTTCCTGAAGCTTGTTGTACGTGTCTGCTTTCCAGCTCTGAATATTTTGTACATTAGCAAAGTTTCCACACAGTCAGGTCACAGATTTCTTTTCCTGAAGAGCACAGGGTCTGATTCAGAAAAGATATAATATGACCTTACCTGTGGCAACAAGAAGAAAAAATATGGATAAGTCTACCTCAAAAAACTATTTCATTCCTCAGCCACTTCATACACCTTTATCTCCATTTTGCAATTCTTGAAGCTGAGACACCAAGAGAGGGAACACTGGGAATATAGGAGGGAACATCTGATTTTGGTTCTGATGCCATAAATCCTCATAATTGCAGAGGAAAATATTAGCATCAGGTCCTGCAGCAAGTGTGTCAAGAGACTATTGGAATGAAGGGAACTAGAAATGGAAGGAATACAGCATGCAACCTCTCAACTTCTTAAGATCATCTCTGCCTTTTACTCCAACACACAAACTGAGATTTGAATAAACTGAGGTTCTTTCTTTGGCCACATGTGAGTGATTTTCTAGTGGGACGACAAGAGTTATATTCTAGGGAGCTGCATCATCCTCTTGGACTGATAGGATGTGTTGAATACAGTTCAGCACAAAGCAGGCTAGAAGCCACACTCACACATCGTAACTTAGCTATCCTTTCTGTCTCTCTGCATAGTCACCATCAGAAGCAATCAGTTTCCATTCTGTGTCTTAGTGCATGTAGTTTTTGAGAAGGAGCAGTCCAAGCAGATTGTTTCAAGCACAAGGCAGCCATGAAAGAAATAGCAAAAGTACTGGCAAGAAAAACAGATGGCCAAAGCTAGCATGGCAGGATTGAAAGAAATGATAGTGAAATAAAAAGAGCAGCCCTGGATAGAGAAAGAGTTTTAATGAGAGCTACTAAAGGTGATGACCAGGATGTTTTGTAGCAACTAGTGGCTTAGGAGTAGAAGAACCAGGTCTTGTTCCCAGCACTGCAGTGAACCTGCCGCACTGTGCTGGTTCAATCACTTAAGCTCTTACTTTTTTTTCCCCTCATCTGTAAAAAAAGAGACAACAGATGTACACCTATTTATGTAAAGAATTCCACATTTTCTGAAGAAAAGCAGCAGATGTTTCCATTAAAAGATCAACTGTCCTGATTTTATTTCTAGCTTCAAGGGTTTATTTATCCTGGGTTTTCACATAAGTGTTAGTGAGAAAACCAGTAATGACACTGATAAAGGTCTTTCAATACTTCCTGATTGAGGAAATTACAATGCAAAAACATCTGGCTGGATCAATGGCCTTGACTACACTCACAAACATTTGAAGGTACCAAGGAAGAGAAAAATACAGCGAACAGTCATGTTACGAAAAACCAGACCACCCCTTCAAACAACCTGCAAAAAGAAATTGGCTCCTGAAAGAAAATTACGAAATATAAACTAAGAAAACTAAGTAAATATAAACTAAATATAAATGTAAACTCCTAAATAAATATAGCTTACCAGTTAAAGGAAAATAAATAATAATTGAAAAGAAAATTATTTTTAAAAAAGACAAATATTTCATCAGTTGGGAGAAGATCAATAGTAGTTATTAATGAATCACAGAATGAATACGTAATCTGAAAGGTGTTGTCACTGCAGGTTTCCATTGGCTTATCATGCTAACAGGTATTGACTAACCAATTAATAGTATTCAGTTACCAACACTGATTAAGGAATATGAGATTTGACTTTCTTTATTAAAACCTAATGAATAAACATTTCTGTACAGTTAGGAACAAAGGCAGTTTATTCCCAGGAGCTGAATAAACAGAGAAGCTTATGAAAGGATAACTCCAGACGCAGACGAAATGCAGCCGATGCTCAGTGGTCACCACAGATACCATCTCCTTGTTTTCTTATGTACCTTTCATCCACCTTATTGCATCTACCTACTATTTACTCCGTACAGTTTACTGTGGGGCAGGTGACACCTTCCCCACCCTACACCCCCACCCCAAAGATTCACAGATGTACCTGTCAGAGATGGATAACAGTTTACTCTTTCCTGATGCAAATACATAAAAATCCAACCAAGTGTTGAGAGGAGGATCAGGTTCATTAATATCTCGCTGCCTCATGCCAATTCTCTAGCAGATCAGATCTCTTTAGGCAGAAAGATGTGTCCTTAGAGCATAACTCCATAGCAAAAGTTGCAATCTAGAGGGTTCCCAACCTAAGCACCACCTGACCACTTCTTTTCAATGGCTGGTAGTCCATCTCCTTCTCTCACCTACATGACAGCTCTGTTCTGGTCCAAAGTTTTCTGAAGAAATTACACAGATTATTGCTGACAAAGGTGGAGAATACAGCCAACCTCTAGCTCCTCCTCTCCCTCACTACAAACACGTAACTGGAGGAAAAGGTGGATTAAGGGAAGGCAGAGGTCCAATGGGGTCAGATGGCCCAGTGAAGGACCAGATTATGTCTCAAAGCACACACAGCACAGGATAAGGAAAGACTGCAATATTGACAGGTGGGAATGTAGCTAGTTTGGGTATCTCACACATTTGGAATCACAGTACTGCCACATCACCCTGTATCTGTTCCCTGGAGTTGGACTCAAGACTCCAAATGGGCTCTCAGATAAACAATGCCAGAGGACTAGATGCTGTGGAGAGAAAGCTCGAGCTGAAGTGGCACAAAGACATATAGGGCACCAGGAACAGTAACAACATATTAAAATGGAAATGAATGCTAGCACATGAATATTGGTGCACTAGCTTGAGGTCTGCTTTTCAGAAACAAAACACTGCTGCAAGAAACTCCCACAAATCACCACCTCTTTTTTGGCAAAGGTCAGACTGGCCTCTCTGTACTTAATACTCCAATTGTCATACACAGAGCATGCACGAAGCCTGAGAAGCAAAGTCTAGAAAAATCTTTCGTACATGATGTAAGATCTCCTTTTCAGAGGTTTAACCCTTCACAAGTTTCATATTTCAGCACTGCCTCTGGCTTACCTCTCACTCTCTTGCGCAGCACTTACCAAAAGGTATGTCTTTAATATTGTCCCATTCCTCACAAGTGAGGTAAACAGCCACATTCAAATATAAAGTTCATTCAAAAAACATGACTGATGCATATTTCCTGCACAATGTTTTGTCACCCAGTGGCAGCTTCCCGTCCTCCCCAGGAGCATTTCAACAGATTCAGATCTAAATTCCAATCACTTTTGCCACCACTTTACAGAGGACAGTAACTGGGTCCAGTTTCCACTGTAGGTCAGCTTTCTTCAAGGGCCAACAGAGAGGCATATATATGCATATAAATATATATATATAGGCAGATAATTAATGCAAACAGAGAATCACAGATGATAAGTCTTATTTGAAGCCCCAGACTGAAAATACCATTGTGCTTAGAGGATGTTTAACCAGGCAAGCCTTCATCTGTTACCATGGCAACCCAGTACCCAGCTGCAGTCACTCAGAGATGCTGGTGGGAGATTACCTACCCCAGAATTGTATAATGCAAGTTCAAGCCATGAAAATCAGTTTTCCATTGTGCAGCATTCTGCACGCACACAAATCTTACCTGAACGTAATAATTACAATAATGATTTCACCTTCAGTTCCAACTTACTTCTTTCTGTTTGGTATCTCTGTGCCTGCTAAACATCCTAAATTGCACCATTTGATTAAGCAGCTTCATTGCAACCTCACTTCCTACCATTAACAGCTTTCTTATCGTAAGAGAACAAATAATTCAGATTTTAAATTTTTTTTTTAAGGGAAAAATCTTAAATTTCTGTGCCAAGGCAAAATCCAAACTCACATTTGAATTGACAAATGTGACAAGAGTCACGTTTTTCATCTGACTCCCATGTATTATGGTCTACAATGAAGCCCTCCAACCAAACACATCTATCTAAAAAAACAACGTTTTAAAGTAAATTTTTAAAAATCTGATTGAGATTTTGTAACACCAGTCTGATTCTGCCTGGAATCAGCAAATTTACTGAAGTACCCTTTTAACCTTAGCATTTCCACAGAAATTTCTCTAGAAAGGACACAATTGGAAGTTGCATCTCCCATATGTCTCTAAACAATTCTTGTGCCTTCTTCCATCTAGGTTTGCTTTTGTTTGCTTGTTTTTTCATATAATATTTCTGTCATTCTCTGGATGGCTAGGTAACCTGGAATTCCTACAGTTCCCAATGTAATTTCTCTGTATTATTCATTACTTTATCATATTCCCCCATATTTATTACCTCCCTTCTAAGAACAAAAGAAAAATTCTCTGACATACGTAATCATAAAAACCACCTACAAATTCTAAATTAATACATGGGGGGAGCAAAGAAAGAGCCTCTAAGCTACTAGCACTCATTTAACATCTTCTAAGACGGCTGTCAAAAATTTTTTTATTTTACAACCTTAAATTTTTTTCTCCCCAACTAA